CCTACGGCACATTATGGCTTCTCCAAATATTCGCTATCGCATATATGCTGCAAAGTCCAAGACGAAGCAGGCAATGAGAGAGAATGGAACTGGACAAAAGTGTCGATCACGGCAGGACTCGGACCAGCAATCTTCTGCTCCGTAGGCAAGCGCGTTAACCATTGCGCCACGCGGCACCATTAATACTACTACTTATTATGGCTTCTCTAACTACTCTCTCTTGAATGTATGCCGAAAATTCTCAGACGAAGCAGGCAATGAGAGTGAATGGAACTGGACAAAATTGTCGACCACGGCAAGGTCCGAATGTGTAATCTCTTGTTCTGTATTCAGATGAGTTACCCATTGCGCCACGCGGCCCGATTGATCCTACAGCACATTATGGCTTCTCCAAATACTCGCTATCGAATATATGCTGCAAAGTCCAAGACGAAGCAGGCAATGAGAGGGAATGGAGCTGGACAAAACTGTCGACCACGGCAAGGTCCGAATGTGTAATCTCTTGTTCTGTATTCAGATGAGTAACCCATTGCGCCACGTGGCCCGATTGATCCTACGGCACATTATGGCTTCTCCAAATACTCGCTATCGCATATATGCTGCAAAGTCCAAGACGAAGCAGGCAATGAGAGGGAATGGAACTGGACAAAAGTGTCGTCCACGGCAGGACTCGGACCTGCAATCTTCTGCTCCGTAGGCAGACGCGTTTTCCATTGCGCCACGCGGCACCATTAATACTACTATTTATTATGGCTTCTCTAACTACTCGCTCTTGAATGTATGCCGAAAATTCTCAGACGAAGCAGGCAATGAGAGGGAATGGAACTGGACAAAATTGTCGACCACGGCAAGGTCCGAATGTGTAATCTCTTGTTCTGTATTCAGATGAGTTACCCATTGCGCCACGCGGCCCGATTGATCCTACAGCACATTATGGCTTCTCCAAATACTCGCTATCGAATATATGCTGCAAAGTCCAAGACGAAGCAGGCAGTGCGAGGGAATGGAACTGGACAAAAGTGTCGACCACGGCAGGGCTCGAACCTGCAATCTTCTGCTCCGTAGGCAGACGCGTTATCCATTGCGCCACGCGGCCCGATTAATGCTACTACATAGTATGGCTTCTCTAACTACTCGCTCTTGAATGGATGCCGAAGATTCCCGGATGAAGCAGGCAATGGGAGGGAATGGAACTGGACAAAAGTGTCGACCACGGCAGGACTCGAACCTGGAATCTTCTGCTCCGTAGGCAGACGCGTTATCCATTGCGCCACGCGGCCCGATTAATACTACTACATAGTATGGCTTCTCTAGCTACTCGCTCTCGAACAGATGCCGAAAATTTCCAGAAGAAGCAGGCAATGCGATGAAATGGAACAGGACAAAAGTGTCGACCACGGCAGGGCTCGAACCTGCAACCTTCTGCTCCGAAGGCAGACGCGTTATCCATTGCGCCACGCGGTCGAATTGATACTACTGCATAGTATGGCTTCTCTAACTACTCGCTCTTGAATGGATGCCGAGAATTCCCAGACGAAGCAGGCAATGAGAGGGAATGGAGCAGGACCAAAGTGTCGACCACGGCAAGGTCCGAATGTGTAATATCTTGTTCTGTATTCAGATGAGTTACCCATTGCGTCACGCGGCCCGATTAATACTACTACAGAGTATGGCTTCTCTATTTACTCGCTCTTGAATGGATGCCGAAAATTCTCAGACGAAGCAGGCAATGAGAGGGAATGGAACTGGACAAAATTGTCGACCACGGCAGGACTCGAACCTGAAATCTCCTGCTCCGTATGCAGACGCGTTACCCATTGCGTCACGCGGCCCGATTAATACTACTACATAGTATGGCTTCTCTAGATACTCGCTCTTGAATGGATGCCGAAAATTCTCATACGAAGAAGGCAATGAGAGGGAATGGAGCTGGACAAAAGTGTCGACCACGGCAGGACTCGAACCTGAAATCTCCTGCTCCGTAGGCAGACGCGTCACCCATTGCGCCGCGCGGCCCGATTGATACTACTACATAGTATGGCTTCTCCAGCTACTCGCTCTTGAATGGATGCCGAAAATTCTCAGACGAAGCAGGCAATGAGAGGGAATGGAACTGGACAAAAGTTTCGACCACGTAAGGACTCGAACCTGCAATCTCCTGCTCCGTATGCAGAAGCGTTATCCATTGCGCCACGCGGCCCGATTAATACTACTACAGAGTATGGCTTCTCTAATTACTCGCTCTTGAATGGATGCCGAAAATTCTCATACGAAGCAGGCAATGAGAGGGAATGGAGCTGGACAAAAGTGTCGTCCACGGCAGGACTCGAACCTGAAATCTCCTGCTCTGTATGCAGACGCGTTACCCATTGCGTCACGCGGCCCGATTAATACTACTACATAGTATGGCTTCTCTAGATACTCGCTCTTGAATGGATGCCGAAAATTCTCATACGAAGCAGGCAATGAGAGGGAATGGAGCTGGACAAAAGTGTCGTCCACGGCAGGACTCGAACCTGAAATCTCCTGCTCCGTATGCAGACGCGTTATCCATTGCGCCACAGGGTCCAATTGATACTACTGCATAGTATGGCTTCTGTAATTACTCGTTTTCGAACAGATGCCGAAAATTTCCAGACGAAGCAGACAATGCGATGAAATGGAACTGAACAAAATTGCCGACCACGGCA